TGTGTGTGTGTGTGTGTGTGTGTGTGTGTGTGTGTGTGTGTGTGTGTGTGTGTGTGGCGTGCGTGTGTGTGTGTGGCGTGCGTGCGTGTGTGTGTGTGGTAACAGCCAAGCAGAGACACACCTTTTGTTTCTTGAACTGCTTTGGAGTACTCCAGTTACCGAGATGACTAAAACAGTACCTCTTATCAGAGCAGATACTCTATGCTGTTTTCCAGTGTTCCAGCATTGTGGATGACACTAATACCTGCCCATCTGCAGGATGTGAAACATCATCATTGACAAAATTCAGCTGCGATGTCTAGTTTAAGTAGCATTCCGAATTGTCACAGGAGCCATATTTCAACACAATTAGTATCAACACACACCCTGAAATTCTTAAACTTCTCATATGTTAAGCAGATATATTTATTAAAAATAATGCTAGTATGGTCCTAGGACACATTGATTCCAAGAGGGAGTTTGTAGCAGATTTCATTATAATTACTTAACAGCTAAAGGTTTTTTTTTTTAACTTACAGAAACAATAATGTAGGGGACAGGAAAGAGTAGGGCTAATCCAGTAGAGACTGAAGCTGGTATCAGTCTTCCCTAAGCATTGGTTGACAGCCTTGGGCAAAGCTTGTCTCTAAAGGTTAATCAGGCCCAAAGTGATTTTTGCACTGAGCTCCTCCTGCACGTGCCATGATGCCAAAAGGCATGAGATTCAGATTGAGCAGAACTAAACAGTTTATTAAACTGTTCAAATTGTTAAAAATGATTAAAAGCCAGTTAAAGATTTTCATAAACACTATTCCAAAGTTGATTTTAAAAATGTTACTAGCAATGTATGCACTCCCCTTATATGCCTCCCCTCCCTATCTCTTAAACTAGAACACCCAGTGTAAAAAACACTTTAGGAAGAGCCAAAAGTCAATCATTTGAAAAGAAAGGTGAAGAGGGGAGCAGACGGTGTGTAGCAGATGCTGGTACTGCTCAAGGGGCTGCTGATGCAGGCTTTGGTGGCATTAAATCCCCCAGTAAGGCATCAGGTGTCGGGACTCTTTCTCATAAACGTCTGGAACTATGCCATAAGGTGTCTGTACCATTTTAACTGTTGACTTCCCAAAGAGCTGGCGCTCGTAGTCTATCAGCTGCCTCCAGAAGCCTACGTTGGGCCTGATGACAGGCCTGCGGGCTTTCACCCAGTTGTATGCCTCCAGCAGGCACACATTGTGGACTTTCATCAGGTAAGCAATGCAGAGAGTGGCAGAGCGGCTCACCCCTGCAGCACAGTGCACCAAGGTGGCCCCATGCTTCCTGCTCACGCTGTGGATCTTGTCAGCCACAGTATCAAAGTATAGTCCAATGGGGGCATGAGGCATGTCAGCCAGAGGCACTTTAACATATTCAAACTGGGGCCAGTTGAAATTGGGGATCTCAATGGTAGCATTGACAATGCAGGTGATGCCACGAGCCTGGAGGAGGTGCCGGTTGGAGGCCACACTGCCTCTGCCCAGGAAGAGAGAGGAGGTGATTTGAGCAATGCCTCCTATATCTCCCTCAGAAATCATCCGAGGGGCCATGAGAGTCCGTGGTAGTGTGCTGTGACCTCTGGAGCTCATGAAGATGCCAGCAATCACACTTGCATCATTGGAAACAAGACCCAGAGTGTTTTGTTTTCCTCCAGCAAGGAATCCAAAATTATAATCTCCTTCCTGCAAAATACAAGTATCTGTTAGTACTTTACATACTATTTAATTCATCACAGCCTTCTGTGGTGTTTGTAGAATGGGAAGGTGAAAGGATTAAAAATGGTTGTTTTCTATAACAGAATCTATTTGTTTAAGGATGTAGACTCTAGACAAATCATTTTCTATTGATTAACAGGAAAAGTAGCCAATATGTAAAATCAGTGTCTCTGGTGATTGTTTAAAAAAAGAAAAGTCAATAAATGGAAACAGTCATGCTATTTTATGAAAAGTTAAAGACAGAAACATGCCTAACTGGTTCCTGAACAATCTTGCAGGATCTTGTCCTTATTGAAGGAAGAAATCAGGAATTCTGATCCCTCCTGCCAAACACTTCTTGCCTACTCCCACAGCTAAGATGGCTATATTTTCCTAAAGCTGAGTCTGGACATAAAGATCTTGCAAATGTATAAAAATGATACCATGTTAGGGAAAATATTCAATGAACTGACTTTACAAACTAAAAAGATACTGAACTGGGTCATTTACAGAAAAGCTAGGACATACAGTCACATTACCCCTTTATTATTTAAAAAATAGCTCCTATCATATTTGTGACATCAGAACACTTTGGAAATCCAACTAGTTTTGGGTAATTTATGCTGTGGCATTTCCAGGTAAATAATCCCAGGCAATCTCAAGGTCATGGGCTCTCAGAAATACATTTGTCTAAGTTAATGAACATTTTAGCTGGCCTGACCCTGGACGTGGTTAAATAATTTCACCTTTGTCAGCTAATCCTAAGCAGCAAGATAAATTCCACTGTGTGTTAGAATTAAAATTAACAGCTATAAAAAAATTCAGTATTATATGTCTATATAGTATATTAGTAACAATAGAAAAGGAAATTACTGGTTCCCTGAGATTTTAGACATAACAGTTCCTCACATTTTTTACATATAGTTGATGCCCACTGGGAAGTGTGCTCATCCCCACCCAGGGTACTGCAGTGATGCCCAAAGTGATTTCAGTCAGATAAGAACATCCCCAGTTCCACAAATACAGGTAATGGGCTACTCACTTGTGAGGAGTCTGGTTACTCTGGAGTCCTGGGTCCGGAAAGTCCTAAGTGAGAGGGCTGATCACAGCGGATACAAATCAGATCTGTAGAAAGACAGAGGGACAAGAATGAAGCCAATCAGGAAGTTCAAAATAATTCCTCCTGGGTTTTACTACTAAACTGGGTTTGACTGGAATAAATCTAGGAAGTGGAAAGCATGCTAAATAATATCTAGATATGCTTTTAAAGAATGTACCAGTAAGAAATATCAACCTAGGTCTCTGCTTTTTGTTAATGATATATAACCCACGGTGTAACAAATATTAAATACAGTTTTGGCCTTAACAAAGACAAATTTTTGAAAGGAGAAGACTGAGAGACCACAACATATGGATGAAGTAAAGTGTAAGACACTACTCATTGGGCTTGTAAGATCCAAAACAAACTAGAGTCTCTTAAATCAACCCAGGAGTAGGAGAGACCATGAGTGCTAGGCCCCACAGTGGGTACAACAGCTAGACCAGACATAAGGAAGACAGATTCATGAAAAGCAGTGCAGCAGAAGTGGCTGCAGCCATGAATGCGAACTATAATGGGTGCTGGAGTTGAGAAGAGCAACTTGAAATTTCTTTTCTCTTCCATATTGGCCCTCATTTATGTAATGATGAGCACCAATGAGCATCATTAAAAAATGTATTCCTCCCCTATCTGTCCCTTTGTCTTTCCCAAGTAACCGTCACACTTAATATTTTTATAATCTGCTAAGGCATAACTGACGTGCAACGAGACAGTTGTTCTGACATATGTATGTACATAGGGGCCTAACTTAGGCACATTCCAAGGACACAGGCCAGTGGACGCCGTCTTTGTGTCCTCCCTCTGCCTCACTCCAGGTCTTTGGTATCTTCCAGAAAGGAACTTATACACTCATCTGGTATGCTGATTTTTGCAACTGCTACCTAGGGGATACCTCTAGATCACCTGGCTCTGATGGCCAGTGGAACTTATGCTTTCAGTCCCACAAGACTGCATAGATGTACATACTTTAAAAGTTGCTGAGATCCTCTACAGCACCAACAGATCTTGGCACACCACAAGTACTGAAAGCAGTAAAAATAGGCTGCTTGGACAATCGCAGAGGTTTGCGAGTCAACCAAGACTATGTATGGCAGGGTTGAATAATGCCAGTACTTCAAGACTAGGAGAGGTGACTTTTATCTAATGCACAGAAACCAACACAGAAAGCCTTATCTATCAGTTATTTCTATAAAGAGATGAAATAGAGGATATATTCGAAACAAAAGAACAACAGAAAGCCTC